CTGGAGTTGCGTTGGACAAACAGGAAGATCAGATCAGGGTCCGGCACGCAGTACTGGGCTGCGCATCCATAACAAATGTCATACACTGAGTGGGGGGAGTAGATTTGGCAGCGCGCCTAGGCGTAGGTACCCGTCTCACCGGCCACCTGTATTCGATCTCGACCCTCCTCTTCTTAACCTTGTCTTAGCATCGTGCCCAGGAGGGTAAGGGAAAGAGGGGAAGTGCGGTAGATGCATAGAAAGTCCGCAAACAGTACACAGTGGGGGGGGGGGAGGATGGTAGCACGTCTAGACGTAGGTCTTCTCGTCCCGCCTGACATCGCGGACCGGCAGACTCAGACAGTCAATCGCGCGGGAGTGAGGCTGCCAACCTCACGCATCGTCAGCCCACTTCCCATTAAAATAAATTTGATGCGCTAAGAGTCTTGGCTGCAAACTGAGAGGATAGGTCGGTTCTTCTTAGAATCTAGAGTCAGGCTGCGACAGCCGCTTCTCAATGCAAGCTTTATGAAAATCACACAAGCGAGATCCCAGTGGCTCATTACATGTCGTGGTGACAAGGCCATGGGTGTTGCGCGCATATACGGACGGCTTACTCTTGTCAGTCACTTCGTCTGCGCCTGCGTTCAGTCACCCTGGCATCGTCCTGTCATGAGAACAAAATGGATAAAGGATGAGTGAGTGAGATAGATACTTCGCAAGCCCGCCTCATCATAAACAAATTCGAGTGCAGTTCCTCATTGCCGCGCCCACTCCGCTGGGTACGCAGTCCGACTTTCATCTTACTATCTCATGTCCAACTCTACTTTATATCGGAAGCAATCCGCTTACAGGTGCAAATAAGGTTGCATCTAATTTATTTCTTTAAAAATGTCCTAAGTAGTACATCGCAAAAAAGACTTGCCCACGCTGTGGCCGAACGGTGAGGTTAGGAGGTTGAAGGACTGAATGAGGAACTGTGGGATAGACTCCACGAAGCACTCCGTGAAGATCAACAGGGAGGGAACTACTCGAACCGTGAAATTGGCCAGCCGACCCTTTCTCTCGCTCGTCCGCTTGGTCTGCAGAGTCGAAAATACGGGACCCAGGTGCGTTGGTGGTGCGTACCTAAATGAGATACGGTGCATGGATGGGGAAGTCGTCTTGTGCCTTTTATCTTACCGGTAACTCACTCGTTTCGTTGTGCCTTGGGGCTCAATCTCGAGCGCCGTCAGCAGCCGCACAGCGGAGCGTAATATAGGCCGAATAGCACTATCGACAAAGACAAGAGAGACTGTGATAACTGTTTCTGGCTTATTCGCCGTCATCAACCAGTCACGCCGAACCCCAAAAGTATGGAACCTTCAAGGCTTGAACCCACGACCTGGTGGTTAGAAGTATGACTGAGCCATGGGCTAGTTGTCCCGTTGGCTTTGATCATTCACCGACTTTTATTCTCACTACAAAAAGACGTACAAAGTAGGCTTGGACCTAGTAAGAGTCTGCCGAACGCGAGTCGTCGGACCCTCTTGCGGGAAGGAGATATACATCAGTCATCACCAGTTAGATCGAAAAGGCCTGATATTTGAGTCCGGGTCGACTGGTCATTGAGCATTTGAGTCAAGAGCTGTACCACTTCTGTCGCATGAGACTTGCAATTCGAGAGTCGTGGCATACAGTTATGGATGTACTGCAGAGCGACCATATAAATATTGATATATTGCTGAGACTGTTAATTGCTTGCTCGTCCTATTGCTGAATTACGTAAACGCAGAAACTAGGCAAAACAAAAAATAATGCTTCATGCGTTTAAAATTGAAACTGACTATCCGCTGGTAGGCATTTTGGTGTCAATATATAATATTTTCCAGACGGCAAAACAAATTCGGTCCGTTTAAACAAGGGATTGCCTGTGTGCTTTAGTACTGCTCTTTAAGGCATGAAATCACACAGATATGCCAATCCGACTTTAAAAAATCAATGAAAAGTCCGGTTATTTAAAAGTAGCTTCTGCGCTGACGAACTGACTCCCACAGTTAGCATCAGACAAAAAATCAATTCTCAAGTGTACCAAACTTTGATTAGTAACAATATTGAAAATGAATTACTCTACGCCCTAAGAAAACACGCTCAAATAAGTAACCGAAGTCTAGGGCAGGTATTAGCGTAGGTAATTGTCCGAATATATCGCAAAATCCATTTCCCTCTAAATTTATGAGCATCTTGTCCGACGAAACTGCGTGAACACATTTTCTGCAAAAAAGGACATTTACTTGAAGAAGCTGGACGAGCGAGCGTAATGCGCAACATTTAAGGAGTCAGAAAATCCTCATATCAATTCCTGTCATCAGGTTTCATGGGTTAGGTCACATACTTACAGCACGCTGAAGTAAACGGCCGGGGGTGGGGTGGGTTGGGGGGCATCTGCATAACTGTCGTACCTTGACGCTTGACACTGGGGTCAGCAGTTGAGCGCCAGGACCTACGAACCCCGAAGCACTGAGGGACTAGTAGCTAATTCGCACTTTGGCGCCGGAAATTGGGTTGTTAGGACGCAGGGATATGGACCACCGTAGTTCAGTTTGTTTCGCGCTAAATTCCAAAGGAGTGATAGGGTTACGTCCATGGCCAGTGTTGGGGTCAAGGTCAGGACATAGAAATGGCTACCCTGTTGGAATTTGGCGCAAGGTCATCTGTGATACGGAGATTCCATACTGCCGTGTCTAGACGTTGGATGCTTTTGGAATATCAGGATTAAAAATAATGGTCCTTCATATTGCCCCCTTTTCACGAAAAAGTGGCTTTTTCCATGCTTATCAGCGTCACGGGATATGAATTATTCAAAGGCAGCAAATCAGAACGAGCATTTTAAAAACGTGTGTCAGGGCTTCAGAAGACAACGTGAGGCACTTGACCTTTATCAGTGATAGCCCGCATATGAGAGCGGCTTGACGTCACAATGGACAACCAGTGAACTAGGGCGTAAGTTCGAGACGTCACTTTGCAGGAAGAACCTTCACTGTTCGCTAGTTTGCAGCGGGTCGACTTTGCAAAAAAGCGCCTGGCAGAGGGATCCGTTTCGAGTTGTATTTTAATATGTACAAAGTTTACGAAGGACGAATATTCTGCGCCCGGTTTTTTGACCTACCCGTTCATATATAGTCATATGCAGGTACTGGCCCAAGATTTAGGGAGTTAAACTTCGGATAGGTTTTCAAAAATTACGCAGTATTTGTAGTTCAAGCTTCACATGTTAACTGGCTACGTAACAATGCTAATTATATCTTTGAGCATATTTGTCAGCATTAAAACAGAAGGAAAAAGGGTAGGGATCAGCTGCGCTGTCCTGGTCCCAAGCGCAATGCGGGGATTGAAAGTGAAGTAAGCTGAAGCAAGACGTTGAAATCTTTAGTGGGAAAATAGCCAAGGCTAAAACCGAAAAGGGCAACCTGATGTTTCGGTTTAGAGATAGGGTTAGTTTTAGGGTTTGGGATGGTGTCCGGCTGACAATTGCGTTTAGGGTTAGGGCTTATCTGAAGTTCAAGGGTTCCGGTTAGAGGTAGGATTTGGATTGCGGTTTAGGTTTACGGCTGGTGGCAGGATTGATGTTGGCGTTAGGTTAGGGTTCGGATTTGGGTCAGGGTTAAAGTTAGGCTTAGGGTTAGGGCTAGGTTTTGTGGTAGGTTTAGTGTTAAGTTCAGTGTTAAGTTACGGATTGACTTTAGGCTTATATGTACGTTTAGGATTAGATTTACTGCTCAGGTTAGATTTACCATTAGGTTTGGTGTATTGCTGCCCCGCCTGTTATTTCAGTCAGTTCTTTTGTGGGGATTCTAGGCTTTCTTCAATATCACGGCAGATTTTTCATACACTAAGTTACCTTTTCCGTTTCAGCCTCGCCTACTTTCCACACGAAGGATTTCAGTGTCTCACTTCGGCTTACTTCCATATCAGAGCCCACATTACGCTTACAATTGGGACCAGGAAAGTTTAATCGACCCTTGCCGATAGGAGGTGTGTTTGTACAGTGTCATCAAGGCGTGAGGGTGGTCTAGAATATACAGATTGGTTTCCTCGCTGTGGTTATAATACTACATTCTAACAACTCATATCTCTTGCATGGTTAGTCTTTGTCGGAAAATCGGTGCGGTAGAAAAATCTCTTAGAGACAAAAGTCCGGTCCGAACTTACCACAGGGCAGGCACAATTGGAAGAGCATGCAGGACAATCAGGGCGCACCAGGGCTTCTTAGTACCAGGATTTTTTTTCGAAATGATCACAAATCCAAGAAGACTCAAAAGAACATTGCACAGGTAGGGTATGATGATGAAACAACAGCTCCACACGGCAAACACAACTTCACCCTGCAAAGAAAAAGTAAAGTAAGCAAAACGAACATCGACAATGGAGAGCAGAGACCTCCTAGAGGCCCTTTGAGTTCAGGGTTGTTTTAGACAAAATATGATCTGTTTGAATAATTGTATATTATACAGGAGTTAGGGGTGAGTCAGCCTCTCTATCTGCAGCTGTAAAGTCATGTGACCAGTCGTCAAAACACGGAGTCGTCAGATTAGGTAGCAACTGAACTCTCTGAAGCAGAGGAACTGGTTCTATAAGTCATCTTCGGGGAGACCTTTACAGGGAGGATAACAACTTTATTATGAAACTCCCTTATGTCTAATATCTCCCGGTCAAGGGACACAGACCCATGCAGGATTTTACTTGGTGGGTTTCGGCTGTCATTAAAAGTTGCATTTAAGTTTGGGGAGTGCATCAAGGAGACCTTCGGTAGGCGGAGTAGGATTTTGTACATTATCTCATGACGCATTTTCGATCAGAAAAAATCACTTAGGAGAGGGTTGTAACAATGCTTATCAATCAGCACAATGCCAAAGCATTTCTGCCACTCAAGGTTTCCGGCTTGCGCAGCATGCATTACTGTTGAAAACCACGGGTCTTTTTGTAGAGCTTGCATAAGGATTCGCCCTTCTTTTGACTTAAGAGATGTTCAATTATGGTATTTTAGAATGTAAAATATCGATTCAAATAGACTGCTGTTTTTCCTATTAGTAAGGCTGTTAGTAAACTATAGAACTTGGTCCATATCCGTTACGAAGTTTTATGAGTTAAAATCTACTATTTATTCGAATATAAAACTCGAAGAAGACGCCATTCTCTACGAAATGAACAGAAGAAAGAATGGTTTTAAGCATTATTTCCACAAAACATGTTCGGATTTACGTGGGCATCGAAAAGCGATGAAATTAATCACTTTTAACGACTGTGTTTTCTCAAACAGCTGGAGAGAAGCGCATTCAAAACCCAGTATACCGAAGTGACTGAAATGCCCTGAGAGCATGCTTAAAGATAGATCACTGCAACATCGCCTTATTAATCCTTCCTGATTGCGATCATTTTTCAGAGTTTTAGGAGATGTTTCGCCCACTGTAAAGCTTCTCATAGAATCGTTATCGTTCTGCTACCCCAAGCCCGTCATCCGATGATTCACGAGAACATAAAAATGAGCGAAAACAATCAGCACCAGGTAAGTTGTCCCCTTTCTGCGAGTGTGGTTCATACGGACGGTCGGAAAGATTTGCATTCAAATCGGGCGTAGTGAGTGGAATATTTTTGAATCAGGCTGCGCGCTACTCATTATTACAAAATCACTTCAGTAATCCCTTCTGGTCGAAATCGCTTTTCAGCATTTTCGCGAATGTTCCGTGTAATACGTCTCCTACTATCTCTGCGAGGTATAGACTACTCATAGCCGATGGGCTCGGTCATGTGCTCAGTGGTAAGCTCGCTCCTGCGAAGGCATTTATAACGTTGTAAGGGATCCTGACGTTGCCATGTCAGCGAAGAAACACCGCTGCCCGAAAAGACGAAAGGTGCAGTTTCCTTGTGAACAGCAAAATATGTGTACGCGCATAAACCAGGCCAGTGGGCTGAAATTAGACGTATGAGTCTAGAAAGCCTCTCAAGTTAGCCGAGATTGTTCAGTCCTGTCAAAAGAAACAGATGACTAACTTCTGACTCAGCGTCTGTTCTTTAAACCTTCTAAATGGAACGCTCATCTCCCATCTCTACTTCGACACGCCGACGGCGCGCGGGTCAGATTATTCCATACCACCTTAGGACTCAATCTTTCGCCAACTATATGGCTGCCTGTGAGGGCCTCTAAAGCAAAGCGGAACGTTTGTGTGTCAGTTCAGCCATCGAGAACGATGACGCCCGTCATGGACTCCGCAGCATGGCAAGCGCAGGCCGATGATTTGTGCGCGAACTTGGTTATACTGATTGCAGACTTGCGCAGCATCTGCCGCACTCTCTCCCACCCCAGCTTTCAGGCAAGCCAGTGCCGGGATGGCTGGGGGTGGCTCGGATGCAGTGGCTGACGAGGTTGAGTAGCCTGTCTGCGCGTGTCACTCACGCCCTGTCCACACACGACGGACGGGGTTCTCGCGGGAACAAGGGGGAGGGGGGGGGGTACCTCAGACCCCGTCTGAGTGGGAATGCCACAGAGGCCACATTATGAAGGAGTTATTGTGGTCTGACTCACAGTTCCGAAAAGGACCCTGTTATCCCCTCGGTTGGCAGCCCTTCAAGCCTCGATGTTTAGTGCGCCGTGGCAGATACAGGCGTATCAGGTTTTTTGTAGGGAGGAATGCATTGATCGTCTGTGGAATAGAGACCCCAATATCGATCTCGCTTCACCAGCCCGCTGTCCGAGGCTATCAGCCATCTGATGCTCAGCGACTGGACGAAAGTGACTGATGAAGCTGAATTTTCCGTCCACGCCTGCCACACAAGGCTTGGTCCCCGCACAACACACAAGATTTACACAAGAAAGGGGGCTGACAGCGTTAAATCTTACATGTCTGGGAGTGTTATAGAGGCCGCTGACGCGCAGTCAGGTCGGATCGGTAGCTCTTATTCCACTGTGAGTTTAAAAAACCAGTCAGTCTACTGGAGTCAGCTGAACTGAAGTGCAAATCATGAGATTTGAGGTGCGGATACGTGACAACGATAAATGAACTAGACATAGTCATTTAAGCCTCCTTTGGATAGGCAACTAAATGTCGTTATTTTACCGTTTTTGCAGTCCCCAGGCCAATACCTCAAGCTAACACGGAATACCCCAGCTCGGTGCTGCAGTCGGACAAGCTAGTCGACTGCGAGAAGATTCTTGAACCATTGGTTCTGATGTGAGATGGCCTCGTCCTTGCCAGACTGCAGGCTGGCAAGGGCTTGTTATGGGAGCCCAGGAAAGGATAAACTCGCCCATAGTACGTTCAATTACTGGCTCCTTAACATGGTTCATCAGCTTGGCGAGATTTAGTCAGTACACGTAGGGATCTTGCGATTCCATGTGCTGGCGAATGGAGCATCGATCAAACTTGTGAATCAGTATCCCGAGTGGAAATTTATTGTTCGTCAGAAAGCTTCTGCCGAGCCATTTTACTTGTAGAACGGAAATAACACTCAAGTTTCAGTCTCGGGCTAACAGAATAGGTTTGGGTATTCATGCCTACTGATGGAAAATGGGCCAGAACTGACAATCCCAAAAGTATCAACCCACTGTTTTTTTAAATTGCAAAAGTATGCTAATTTCCCCCTCTTTCACTCCTGGCCTATCGAGCAACGCGAAGGACTTTCACGAAGAGGCTTTGGAAAACCGGATACATACTTTTGTGTAGAATTTCACGGTGACTGATATGTCCAGGGCCAAGTCAATGACGTGCATAAGCTGTCCAGTCAGTGTCTTTAGCACCACCATTCGTTCATAGGTCAGGTATTTGCGTAGGCCTTTTAGCTTTGCACAGCGCTCCTGGTACATAGAGTCGCCGTCCTTATCATCACCATCATCTACCACGCCATCCGTGTCGGTGGGCTGAACACTTAATTCGATTCCATCCATCAGTATACTTAACGGGAATATGCCAGTTGGCCACAAGAGAACAGACAGGACGAGTTCAGGATTGAATGGCGTTCAGTCCGCGGATCCCAGGTTCCACTTTTTCAAACCGGCCTGCCTATAACCCTGAAAGGCAATACTAAAAAGTACGAGAGTAAAGTTAAATGCAACCCGATAAACAAAACGCAACACTCTTCAGTCAGGAACTTTTTCTCATTTGCTCACAAAGATGTCCTCGCTTACTGGGACAGAGGCAAAAACCAAGAAAAAGAAACTTAGTTCTGCATTGTCCTCTCAGTAGCAAGGACGAAGTTATTTTTTCCTACTTTAAGTTTGGCTGATTTAGTTATTATTTAAGTATGGATAAGAAATTCTACGGATATTCGGTCCTCCGGGCACCAGCAAAAGCCCTGATTTACGATCTTAAGGGTGGGTAGATCATAGTCCAATTTACCCGGCAACACTTTCATGCTAGTGCGCTGAGGACTACTAATAGCGTCGAGACGACTGTGCCCTTCTAAGAACAGTGGTCTGCACTAGTATCTTAGCTCTCTCTTTTGTAATTCCCATCTCATTTTTCGTCTGAAATGCGACTCATCTCCTGCGCCAGCAGCTCCTAGATTGCCTCTTATAGCTTTCTAACTAATTCTGCTCGTAGCTCCGAACTTTAGTCACGTAGTGGTCATATTTGTCAACTAGCTCTATCTGCAAGACGAAATACGAATGCTCTTTCTTCCCAGGAAGCTCCAGATTCCAGCCAAAAGAGACCATCATCTGGCAACGAACAATCGATGCTCCAGGAGGGTTGCTCAGCATGACGGCAGGAATGTAACTGGGGCTTCTCAGCAAGGAAGAAAAATAGCACAGCACAGACTGCAGAGAATACATAAATGACCTTCCTAACTTACGTATAGGCATTAAGTAAAGAAAAAAGGTTAGCACATCGATCGTTTCTCAGAAAACCAACTGAAAGCGGATTGCTGTTTAACGATAACTTGCGGAACTCCAGAAGTCACTGCTCAAGGAGATATCAATTATGGGATCATCTTGTTAAGACTGACGGCGAAAAGTAGATAATTAACGCAATTCAAAAACATAAGGCCTTGGAAGGAAACCAGCCCATGATCCCCCTTTCTCCGATTTAGCGCAGGCATCCCAGCCCCTGAGCTTTGGCATCCACGCCTATCGGCCGTACGGCCAAATCGGCCATTGGTCCCCCTTGCCGTTCTAGGCGACCGAGATCACCCGAAGCCGCTCCCTTCCACTTGCGCGTACAACGGGCATGAGGTGTGGGGTTCTGTAGAGAAAAAGGTCGATGTTACGATCGACACCTACCTATCTGGCGCACATGACCTTAAAATCGAAATTTACAGTCGAGTGAACACCGACTTCAAACGTTCTTCTTCTTCTTGTGACCCTTACAAGCCGAGAGTGCCAGAATTACTCGAGCGATTGCGCAAAATGCCCAGAAAGTGGATCCGATGGAGTAAAACATCTACATCATTCCTCCAACCTGCCATTGTGAACAACTTCTGAACTTAGGTGACTTTGTCACTTAGTAATCCTGAATAAATGTGGAACCGGTGGATCGATATTTGCGTCTGTACGATTCGGGAGTTTGCAAGGGTAGAATTTAAAAGTCACAAACAAATACAAGTTCCGCAAGCCGCCATCCCTTTCACACTAACACACTTATATCCACACGCCGGCCGTGCATGAGGAAGCGCTCTGTCAAATTGTCGCCGACAGTATTCGCAAATAACCCTAGTTCGAGGATTTCTTTTGAGCTGCGCAATACCCCTTGCCAGTCTGTTTGGACATGCAGATGCCAAAATAAGGCTTCTAATTCAAGTGAGAGATAGTTCAGAAGGTAGTTTCTAAGACCAAGCAAAAGGTCGAGGCGTAAGCACATTTGAAAGAAACGGATTTACAATCGGACGACAACTTACTTGGCGATGCGCAGTACTGTGGTAGACTTCGGTTACATTCGTAGCCAGCGGGCCGGTAGACGCAAAATAAAAGCACAGTCAGCTGATTGGCCGGCGTGAACCAATCAAAGACAAAGAAATTACTAAGGTGCGTGCAGGAACTCGTTTAGCGAGAGTTGCTTATGTTTTCATCGCCAAAACATAGTGCTGAATAAGCTGAACTCTCACGGAGGGCCGCTAGAGACTATGAGTCACATGCTGTTTCTTATATGAAAAATGTCAGCTTTTGTCCTTCCAGACGTATTTAGACAAACTGATAAATTACCCCAAAATGCATGTCGCAGCTTGGGTACTCCAGAGGAAGCATCAGAAGGAAAATATCTATGTACAAAGCAATTGAAGTCAGATTGCAATAATAAACAGAGCGGCCGGTATGCGGAACTAGTGGCCTTGGTCAAAGGTCTGATCATGGTCGGCGTTTGTCCACCTTCATAACATTCGTAACGTGTGCTTTTCCACTAGGAGCATGCATACACGGAAGTAATGATCGTACTTCCACTGAAAAATGCGAAAAAAAACAAACACGTCGATAATATACACACATATACGTAGAATAACATTACTGACAAAGAAAAAAGAAACTGGAGTGACCGTTTCCGGCTCGTTGGTCGTCACAAGTCAGCAATGTCCAACCCCAGGTTTAGTAAAACAAGAGGCTCGATCCTGCGACCTGTTAATTAGTAGTCAAACTCACTTAACATGGAGCCGCCGGCTCGCTGTCCTGTCGGTTGTAATCAAGCATATGCAATGACGATCACATCCCGTGTGTCAATTGTCCTTGCTTATATGTTGGTCATACAGAACGACGCCTGGGAACTCGTATTAATGAACACAAACTAGCTGTCCGACGCCGTGATCCACTTTCCGTCGTCTATGCACACGCATTCCAGTGCGACCACCGTTTTAATTGGGATAACACCGAGGTCATCGTCTCGGCCAACAAAAAACGGGCGAGAGAATTCCTAGAGGCATGGCACTCTAACGCGGACAGCATCAACCGCCACGTTGACCTAGACACCCATTGTGAGGGCCTAAGATCACGCCTCATTAAGCCGAGCTCCACGCCGCATAAGCAGCCGCTAATACAGGCGCCCGCAGTTCTGCCAACATACCATACTCCCACCCCTCCAACACAGGGAGCCGCAATGGTCCCCCCCACTTCCTGCCCTCCCGGCTCAGAAAATAGCACGACTCCCTACCGGCATCCCTTCTCACACCTTAATGCTCCGCCCGACAATGATTGCCTTGTGGCGTCTACTAGTCTAGTGTGACCGTCTCACTATCTCGTTTCTCTTCATTTCGTCTGACGACGGGTTGGTGTCACTAATTAGAAAATTCACGAGAACACTTCATTTTTTCCGAAGAATCTCTTTTCTTTTCATTAAATACTATCGGAATAGCTGTTACATCTACTATACACCATATATAATATATGTACATTCACTCAGGAACGGCCGCACACGCATCCGTTGGCGTACCGAAGCAAACAAGCTTCGTATGGGCGATCGGGGTCACGAACAAGAAACAAACTACCAGGCCGAAGTCGGCCAAGTTATGATAGCAGAGGGGAGACGACAGAGCAAGGTGGGTAAAGTGATACAGCACTGTTCCGGGCTACATTGCCTTCATATATATATATATATATCAATCAGGAATGGGCGCACACCGATCTATTGGCTTCACAAAGCAAACAAGCTCCGTATGTGTGGCAAAGGTCACAAACAGGCAACCAATTACCAGGCCGAAGTCGGCCAAGTCATAATAACAGCGAGGAGGGACGACAGAGAATATATATATATATATATATATATATATATATATATATATACGAAAAATAGAAGAGGTTCTTCGGAAAGTCGAGTACAACTCGACTTTCCGAACAACCTCTTCTATTTTTCATTATATCACCTCGGAATGCATACACCCTCTGGGCTACATATATATAAATTTGAAATCAAATACGTTCTTTGGCAAAGAGAGAAAAGTATATTGAGCAAATATTCGACGTCGGTTGTCCGTGACGTCGTCAGACTGACACATACGACGGCAGCTTAAAAACTGAGGCACCAAATGAGTATAGACATTGTAGCACGTTTGAAATTTTAATTGTTTTCTGATCATTCACTCTAGTCTGAAGACGACACGGGGAACCGACAACGTGAATTCAATCAACAAAGTTTTCTCCCTTTCCAAAAGAAAGTATTTGATATCCAATTATATATCTTGGGATGCCTGCGTTCCAATTAATATATATCATAATATAAATAAATATTAAATGAATTATACCGTAATTCAGAAATAGAAACTTGCTAAAAGATCAGACACATGATTCACCGATATTCTGCCGCTGCGTGACACAGCTGTGAGGGCTTCGGCTCTTCACTGGGACCCCCAAACTTCTCTAGCAGTTTCTGCTATATGAAATCCAGAGAATAATCCAATGAATAATTTCAGAAATTACTAAGTGCAGGACTTGGAGTTAAATCTGCGGGACATGACTTTTGTTAGGGTCAGAACCGAAATACAATAAACATTTAAGTCGAAGAAAATCGACGACTGTGCAATAAGCACGTAATGCCCATACTACAAACAAGTAGTACTACGAGTAGAATAAATTCCATATGGTAAATGTAGTATACGGTACAGACGACACAGACACTTGCTAAAAGCCCAGACACCTGTTTCGCCGATATTCTGCCGCTGCGTGACACACATCCGATTGGTTTGTCTCTTCCGTGTGAACCGAACCCTTCTCTAGCGTTTTCTGCTATATGTACTCCAGAGAATAATCTAGTGAA